ACACATATTTTTTTTGGGGGGGTTGGTTACTGAGATCAGGAAAGCGGTACAGAGTTATCAAATGTAAGACAGAAAAGTTATGGAAGAGTTTCTACTCAAGCGCAGTACAGGGCATTGAAAGAGATGGAGGAATTTCAAGTGGTCGGTTGTTGTATGTAATGATTTCTCACTTTATTTATTCACATGTAATTATTTGTCTTTACATTACGTGTTCTTCTTGACATTTTTCATAGGCATTTAATGTAAATATGAATTGTGATTCTATGGAATTATCTGTACGATTTTGTATGGTGAATTGTAACAAGCTCTATACCCTTAGGCTATTGTGCCTACCGCACCCCCCTCGGAACTCTGAGAGGAATTCCAAAGATACCACTAATACAAAAGAATACACAATAGAGGGGGGTCCCCTTTGCCGTATGTCGGGAGATACGGGATACGAGACGTATGTCCAATCCCTACCCACACTCTAGAGTATTGTTAGAAAACGTCTCAAAAGGTATACGCCAATTACCAACCAGGTTGGTTAGGAGAAGACGTCGTCGACTTCTACATTCGACAACTCTGTTAGACGGTCCAACGCGACAACCACCAGTAAAATAAGTGTGGGCAGTACAGTGTTTTATTACAAAACGAATAATAAATCGCCTGTCAATTCCACAAACATTTCAAATTGTGGCCAAGAACTGTTATTCACAAAAGGCATTGAGTGAAGTCATGTTTTTCCCTCTACTTGAAAATATTCATTTCACCCTCTGTGTCATTGATAACACCAATCATACAATAAACTATTATGATTCTCGCAATCGAACAAGGGATTCATGACAAAAAAATGCTGAATCATGCTCGGACATTTGGCAATTTCTAATCCGAGTGGTTTTTAGGGTGAGAATATCGCTCGGATCATACAAGTGCTGTGCATGCAACAAACTGATTCGGCAAGTTATGGCACCTTCTGCTGTTTGTTTGCCAAAGAACTATGTATCTGTGTCAACTAAATTCTGATAAATAACAACAGTGACGATCTCCGAATGTATCTTGCATTTTAACTTATAAAACGTTATACTGCTATCGACCCACAACTTCGTATCATCTCACACGAGTATTAATCCCAAACAAGCAAACAGCCATAGATAATACGGTACAATATAAGAAATATTTGAAAATGTGCTCTCTTTTTATTCATTACATGGAAAGAAAAGGTTCAACTTAAGAAAAGAGGTAGAAAACAGAGTATTAGTCCTGGCCAAAATTGTTGGGACTCGTGTAAATGGATACAATCTCCGAAGGTTGCACAGACCATGACCAACCAGACTTGACACTGACCGAGATGTGGGAGATCAGGGGAGGTCTGGTCGATTTTGTGAGATTTAGTTTGAATAGTCGCACACCATATGCCTCAATTGGTCACTGTGGTACACCCCGAACCACACTGACCTAAATTCCATCGTCAGATGGCGGCCTGTATCTGTGGTATTAATATTTTTTATTATTTTTCAGTTTACTGAGACCAAAGAAAGTTCATTAAAAATCACATAACTGTATAAAGTTCATTTTTACAATTTTATTCATAGCTTTGAATGGACACTTGTCGATTCGAGGGCTGCTGTTCATAATTGATTGATTATGACCACTCCCTAGATACCTGTTACGAGTAAATATCCGAATTACTAACCTTGGATGTGGTAGGTGAGAAGATTTTCTGCTTTGTTTTCGAAAATGTTCTTTGGAAGTTTTACGGCCACTCCAAAGACATTGTCATTTGGTTGCATCACGCCGTTTCATGCACATCAAAAATATGGAATGGTCAGTACTTGAATTTGATTTGAGAAGCTTTTGATAAATGGCAGGTACATTTTAGCAGTATGCTGTTAAAGTTCGAAATGGAGCATACATATACTTGAATACTTCTAGTAAAAAATGGCTCTTTGTCCTGCACTTTTGCAAACTCGAGTATATACCGATGTTAAAGTTATGGCCAGTGAGGCACGGGTAAACTATAAAAATGACATCATGAAGTTTCAGCCAGATCAAAATTAAGTGCAACATGGGTTCCCGTGGGAAAACTGAATGGTCTATGTATGCCGTGATGCTGAGGTGTATGCAGCTTTTTCTGCGAGAACGGGGTAAAACCAACGGCATTACTGACTTTCTGTTGTTGAAATTTAACAGCTGGGGAAAGTTCGTTTGGTTGTTTCTTCATTTTTCTTTAAGAGGCGTTTTTACACTCAAACAAATAGCCATTATGTATAGCCCTTACTGAGTATGGCCAGGGGGTCTGACAATTCCAGTTATAGAACAAAATGAAAATGTCTTCAATATGTAGGGTACAGTTTCGTCAAAAGTTACGCCCTTATAAATCATGCAAATGGGAATTCTTGGAAAGTGTTTAAAACGGGATACCTTTAAAAGTCGCTTTGACACAGAAATAGCCATTTTATGTTTTCCTTACTGAAATGTGGCCAGGGCTCTGACCATTTCAGTTATGCAAAGAAAAGGAAAATATTTGTTAACATATAGGGTATACTTTTATGGGCTTTTTCGGTATTGTAGATGATTGGAAGAGGCATTCTTTAAAAACACTCTAAAGGAATTTTAACACCATTGCATGCAACCCTTGCTAAAACATCGGGTCAGGGCTCAAGCAATTGGAATTATAAAAAAAGGAGGATGAACTTATAACATGTTTGGTTCGCTCAAATCGCAACAGTGAAGTATTCTTTGTTGAATATTTCAGATTGAGAATAGGCCTAGGTGAAAAGCATGCTTCCCCCCAAAAAAGTTATGAGACTGACCTTTTACTAGTGAAACCAAATTATTTATTACACATTTTCGTTTAAATAGCTTAAATTTCATCAAACATTAGGAATGTTGTTTGTGGAAAAAGTAAAACATTCGTTCAATTTAGGACTAGGCCTATTTAACGTGTCCTTTGCTTGTCTGTTTTGACAGTCTTCATCAGCCGAACACTAAATATGGCACCCCATTATATGCTCCAGTGGCCTGTCCCCTCTTCTACACCCCGTGACTGCATATTAACCACCCACATCCACTAAACCTCCCCTCCGAAAATAGATTTGTAATAATAATGAAGAAGTGATTTATATGAGAAGACAAATAGTCTATAAAATTAATGTCCTTTGAAAATGTCCGTGGGAGAACTGTTAGATGACATGAGGACATCTGATTTTTCTGGTGGGAATCACAACAAAAACTCTAGTATTTGTGTCTGGAAAAATTCGAAAAAGGTGGGTTATTTCTTTAACAAATAAAGTAAGATTACAGGATTAATTTCCAACATTTTCGGGGTCTTTTGCAAAACTTTTGACCATGGACAAACTGATCACGTGACCGCTGGCTGGTCAGTAGCTCGCTCGTTCAGTTCGCAAAAAAGTTAACTTAAAGGTCAGGGTGAGTGCGTAGAAATAGGACTGCGTAGATTTAGGGGGCCTGATAGCACCACAAGGAACGTGTGTATAGGCCCTACAGTAGGCCTACTTGTAGAACCCCAAGTCACTACTCCGTATGACTTGGGTTCGTAACACTATGGGATTTTAAATGCAACTCTGCAATTAATGTCACTTTGATTCTTGCCGGCCGAAACTGCGCTTTCTCGGTCAGTTAAAATCTGCGGAAAGAGTTCCATATATGCGGATGTACGCCAGTAATTGTTCCCAGTAGTGACCTAGCTAGGCCATTAGCCATCAGAAAG